ATATGCAGATTTTATTGAAACCTGATAATGCGCAAGAATGTGTTTTATGCAATATCGGTGAAAATTTCGACTAGAAAAATTGGAAATAAATAAAATATGCCTAAATACAAATTAGAGACATGTCATAATAGATGATTCCATCTTAAATAATTCAACAATGTTTTGTGGTAATTTTTAACATCAACTTGAGATTTTTCTTATTAAAAAGTTGAACAATTTTAACAGATCCAACATTATGGGAAAAAATAGTGATTTTTATATAGTGTTTTTTTTTTTTCGACATTTAGCATGGACAAAATAAATTCACGGAATTGGACAGAAAAAGATCCCAGAATGAAGTCAACACCCGCGAAAATTTTTCATTATTTAATAATTGTGCTGAATGTAAATTGTAATGCAGGTAGAAAAAGGCAAAAGTTTGGAGGTTAACTATTTGCCCATAGCTGGGACCCTAACAGGTGTTACCACCCCGGGTCAGGGTGGACCTGGGAACACCAGCAATTAAGAGGTTGTTGCTGTCGGACGTAGTTCATCGTCTTACCCAGGACGCGGATGTAGTTTATCGACTTTACTCAGGGTTGTGGTCATTCTGTGTTCACTGAATCGTAAATCTGTAGAACCCAGCACAGGGATTGAACTGTCTGGGCAAATTCCCTAACCAACTAGATATAGACGAAAGAGTGGCAGGAATGTTGCAAGAGACTCGTGCCCCCACCCAAAAATATGTTACGCCCTCAGACACTCGGCTACATTTCAATTTTCATAAGGTAGTATTCATATAAAATAATTCTTTATTGTAACCTAATTATGTACAATAATCGATCATATGCAATATAGGTGAAACATTCAACTAGAAAAATTGAAAATAAATACAATCTATCTAAATACAAATTAGAGACATGTCATAATAGATTTTCAATAAATCAATAAATTTGTTCTTTTTCTTTTTTAATTGGAATTACATTTCAAATCTAATCGGTGTTAATGACCTTAATCCGAAAATCACCAATTCTTTGGTCGTAGCGTCTAAGAAAGATTTTTTATCACCTCTGCCCCGTCATTTCAGTTTGCGTCTCTTTCTCTGGTCAGATGTCGCCGACTATAAGTAGTGTGAAGCTGAAAACACTTTTACAGTTTGCCTTATTGTGTTAATTGGAGTTTAAATTCGAAAATAGAAGGTGGATATTATTAAATAATAATAATAATAATTGCCATCAGGGCCAGTCCGAATATATGATAATGCCCCCCCCCACATCTCAATTTTCTTAAGGTAGTATTTATACAAAATATAATTTTTTATTGAAACCTTATTATGTACAATAATGGATCATATGCACTAAAGGTGAACAATTCAACTAGAAAAATTGAAAATAAATAAAATGTATCTAAATAGAAAATCATTAATTCAACAATGTTTTGCGGCAATTGTTAACCACAACTGGGAATATTGCTTGTTAAATAACTCAATTTTAACGCATTCAGCCATTAAAAAAATACACTGTAAAAAAAAAAATACACTTTTCGAGACTTCTCTTGAGCAAAACAAATTCACGAATTTTTACCAAAAAAAAAAGGACTCCCAGAATGACGTCAAAACCCGCAAAAATTTTTTATCCTTTAATAGTTAAATATGCTTAGTTTAATTTGTAATGTAAATGAATGTAGGTAGGAAAAAAAAGCAAATTTTGATCAGAAAACGAGGGTAAACAAAGTACTGCCCGGAAACGCCAATCAAACATGACATCCCGCCAGTTGTGGGTTCCCGGGGTAGTACGCACCGGCTCTGGTTAATATTTATTTCCAGAAAATCACAGGTTGGCGCCATAAGGATTCATGTCACTACTTAAATTGACTCCTCTGCTCTTAAAAAAAAAAAAAAAAAAAAAGGAAAAATTTAGTGTGGAATATTTTTTGTACATTATCATTCATTAGCCTTTCCTCAAAATACATTTGTCAAAATCGAAAAATATTCTATCAAATTAGTAGGAGCGGTAGTATTACTAAATGTATAATTTTTTATTTAAAAATATCAACTTTCAAACTACGTAAAGTCATTGATTACGATGGCGGGCGGGGCTGAAAAGTTCATAGGCTGACTATGAAGGATTGATGCCAGAGATGTGAAATGTTGCATGAATTAATTTCAATTCATCTTATTAATAACTACCTTGTTTTTTTTTCCATGTAGGTGGGTGGGCTGAAAGGTTCATCGGCTGACTATGAAGGGGAGAGGTTAGAGGTGTGAAACCTTGCATGAATTAATTTCAAACTGCATTGTTTCCTTCCAGGTAGGTGAGTGGGCTGAAAAGTTCATGGGTTGAATATGAAGATGCTAAAGCTACGAAATCTTGCATGCATTCATTTCAACTACTCTTATTAATAAATACATTGTTTCTTTCCAGGTACGTATGTGGGCTGAAAAGATCATAGGCTGACTATGAAAGTGTGATGCTAGTGCTATGAAATTTTGCATGCATTCATTTCAACTTTTCTTATTAATAACTATATTGTTTCTTTTCAGGTACATATGTGGGCTGAAAAGATCATAGGCTGACTATGAAAGTGTGATGCTAGTGCTATGAAATCTTGCATGCATTCATTTCAACTTTTCTTATTAATAACTATATTGTTTCTTTCCAGGTACATATGTGGGCTGAAAAGATCATAGGCTGACTATGAAAGTGGGATGCTAGTGCTATGAAATCTTGCATGCATTCATTTCAACTTTTCTTATTAATAACTATATTGTTTCTTTTCAGGTACATATGTGGGCTGAAAAGATCATAGGCTGACAATGAAAGTGTGATGCTAGTGCTATGAAATCTTGCATGCATTCATTTTCAACTTTTCTTATTAATAACTATATTGTTTCTTTTCAGGTACATATGGGCTGAAAAGATCATAGGCTGACTATGAAAGTGGGATGCTAGTGCTATGAAATCTTGCATGCATTCATTTCAACTTTTCTTATTAATAACTATATTGTTTCTTTTCAGGTACATATGTGGGCTGAAAAGATCATAGGCTGACTATGAAAGTGTGATGCTAGTGCTATGAAATCTTGCATGCATTCATTTCAACTCTTATTAATAAGTGTATTGTTTCTTTCCAAATACGTATGTGGGCTGAAAAAATCATAGCCTGACTATGAAGGAGTGATGCTAGTGCTATAAAATCTTGCATGCAATAATTTTAACTCTTGTAATTAATAACTACATTGTTTCTTTGCGTATACGTGAGTGGGTTGTAAATTTCTTAGGCTGACTATGAAGAAGTGATTCCAGAGCTGTGAAATCTTAATTCTTTTATTAATAACTGCATTGTTTCTTTCCAGGTTCATTAGTTGGCTATTAAAGGGAGTGATGCAAGTTCTGTGAAATCTTATAAGGAATTTATTCCAACTATTTGTTTTCAATAACAAAATTTTATTAATTTCAAATCTTATTCATGACTGCATTGTATCATTCCAGGTACGAGGATGGGCTGAAAAGCTCAAAGGCTGACAATGAATGATTGTTATCAGAGCTGTGAAATGTTGCATTAATTAATTTCAACACATCTTATTAATAACTACCTTGTTTCATTCCAGGTACGTGGCAGGGCTGAAAAGTTCATAGGTTGACTATGAAGGAGTGATGCTAGAGCTGTGAAACCTTGCCTGAATTAATTTCAACTCTCCTTTTTAATAACTGCATCGTTTCTTTCCATGTACGAGGATTGGCTGAAAAGTTCATAGGCTGTTTATGAAGGAGTGATGCTAAAGCTTTGAAACCTTGCTTGAATTAATTTAAACTCATCTTATTAATAACTGCATTGATTTTTCCAGATAAACCTACATCTAACAATTATAAGAAGACTTCCAAATTAACTTGTGGATGAACAAGATTTGGCATCCTGGTGCTGTTAAGTACCTGAAGTAAAAGAGTTCAGCTCCCAAGGATATACGTGCTGACATGGTTACTCTAGCTTTATAAACAGGGCAAAATTCAAACAGCCAATGCTTTTAGCATTTCCCCTGAGAGAGTTGAGAATATTCTGCACAATGAACTAGGCACGACGTAGGTTTCTGGTCGGTGGATGTCACGTCTTTTGACACCTGATCCCATCTGGCATATTTTAGGTAAATCTGTCTGGTTTCCATGGAACTCTTCTAACCCAGGATGAGTGTTGAGTTCACCACTTTGTTCCACAGACAACGAGAAAAGATCCAGTTTTACCTACTTCAAAGAAGGCCAAGGTCGCTTCATTTTCACGGAAGGTGATGGCTTCAGTTTGTTTAGATGCAAAAGAAATTGGGTTTATTGACACATCATCACTGGAGGGTACTATGCGATCTTGCTGTGGCAGTTACGAAAGGCGATCATCTTCAAACGACTAGGAAAAATAATGAAAGATGTCTTGATTTATTAGAACAAGGCTCCAATGAGCAGGTCCTTCGTGTCAATGATTACTCTGTGTGACTGTTGCAATGAACTAGTTGATCACACTCTCTTTGTTTATAATTTGACTATCATCTCTTCCGCAACAGGAAAAACAGTCCCCTTTGAGTTCTAAAACGTCAAAGCGAAACAATGTAGTTATTAATAAGAATAGTTTAAATTGATGGATGCAAGATTTCACAGCTCTAGTATCATGTCAACCTATGAACTTTTCAGCCTTCCCTCGCTACACTGCTGAATCGTGGAAGTATTCATTTTCAAAACACTATCCTTATGCAGGCAAACACACACACACACACACACACACACACACATATATATATATATATATATATATATATATATATATATATATATATTGAACAATAAAAAATATTAAAAAGTTAATATCTTTAGACATAGATAGGTTGTAGATTAATATTCTTTAGTTTTTATTATTATTATTCCATTTAGATTCCTCGACTAGTTTCGACCAAAATGGCCATCATCAGGAGGAGAAATATTTCTGCTTGTTGATAGCAGTGAACTACAGAAATGAATGTGTTGATGAAGAAAATGAACTTCATATATATATATATATATATATATATATATAAGGAGATAGATAGATAGATAGATAGATAGATAGATAGATAGATAGATAGATAGATAGATAATAAACTCACAATAAACTGAGATTGCTACTACGAAAACTAGATAGATAATGGACTGAGAACATTAATTAACTAGATAGATAGATAGATAGATAGATAGATAGATAGATAGATAGATAGATAGATAGATAGATAGATAGATAACGCATATATATGAACTGGAAACATGAGAAATTCTCAGTAATATTCTTGAAGTCAGTAATTAATTTGACCCTGTATTCCAATACATTTCGTTTATGACAAAAGGTCATTAGAAAATCGCTCTAATGAGTGCTAATCTACAAAAATTATTCCCCGCCCAATTTTTTCCAAGCGCAACAGTTAAATTAAGTAGTGCTAAAGATTTCAATATAAAATGTATGCGTATACATTGGAATAAAAACCAATTTTCTAAGAATTCCTTTTGCCCACTAAGCTGGCCATGATTGATTACAAAATTCAAAATGGCCACCAGGCAGAATCCAGCACAAAAATGTCGATTTGTCGACGTCATGATTTTCATTTCTTCATTTGATTTTCCTTTTTTTTTTATTATTTTTACGGTTTTTTTTTTTTTTTGTTGTTGGGGGGTAATTTTTTACTCATTTTTTTCTTTCGTTGGTCGATTTTCGCGATATTTTTTCTTTCTTTCTTTTTTTTTTACATCTGTCTGCGCAGGTGAAATTCAGCTTCCGGCTATCACGGGCATGCGCAGTCCATTAAGAAGAACGTGAAAGCGGAACAAGAATAATTTGCCGGTGTCAGTAATAATTGCATTTTATTACTATCATAATATTCCACCGGTGGAGGCGGGAATTTTCTTTTTTTTTTTTTCTATCCATTTACCTTAGTGTGGCACAAGGCCATGTTGGAAAATGGAGTAGAACCTTCCGTAGACTTTGGGGAAACAACTCGATCTTCCATTAAAAACCATTATTAGAAAATTCTTACTTTTACTTCGATTCGGATATTGACCACTTGCTTGAGCTCCTTACGTCTACTTTAACTAAATGCAGTGGCAACCAAATAAATGACGAACAAATATTTATATATTTTAACAAAAATTACAAATCTGGAAAAAAAAACGTTGTGTCTGTTTATGTGTGTGCGCGATACACACGTGTGTGTTTTTTATGCATGTGTGTGTGTGTGAAAGTAGAATCGCCCAAGGAGAAATAAGTTCTCCCAGTAGAGACGAAGGCTCATGTACTAACACTGCTACATCTTGAAGAAAAGAAAGAAAGAGAAAGAGGAAGATACGAACCGTTCTTTTATAGTACATAAATAGCGTCGCATACCGGCGTCTTGTCGAACCAAGCGAGAGCAATCCACCAAACTTCTATTAGCAATATTTATATATTTTCACAAACATTACAAATCTGGAAAACAACGAATAAGTGTGTGTGTCAGTGTGAGTTGTTGGACGTTGCGTCTGTTTATGTATGTGCGCGATACACACGTGAGTGTGTGTCTTTATGCATGCGTGTCTTTTAAAGTAAATCACTCAAGGAGAAAAAAGTTCTCAACGTAGAGATGAAGTCTCATGTACTAACACTGCTCTGCTACAGCTTGAAGAAAAGTAAGAAAGAGAAAGAGGAAGATACGAACCGTTCTTTTATAGTACATAAATAGCGTCGCATAGCGGCGTCTTGTCGGACCAAGCGAGAGCCATCCACCAAACTTTTATTGGCAATATTTATATAGTTTCACAAATATTACAAATCTAGAAAACAACGAATAAGTTGTTGGACGTTGCGTCTGTTTATGCGTGTGCGCGTGTGTGTGTTTATGCATGTGTTTGTGTGAAAGTAGAATCGCCCAAGGAGAAATAAGTTCGTCAAGTAGAGATGATGGCTCATGTACTAACAATGCTACATCTTGAAGAAAAGTAAGAAAGAGAAAGCGGAACATACGCATCGTTCTTTTATAGTATATAAACAGCGGCGATTAGCGGTGTTTTGTCGGACGAAGCGAGAGCAATCCCCCAAACTTCTATTGGCGGATAAATCGCATCTATCACGAAATTATATATATATATATATATATATATATATATATATATATATATACAGGAAAGAAAAACAAAAAACAAAAATTACCTCAACAGAGAGATAGTCTATTTCAAGCCGTTGTGGGCGCAGCTATCATCAGTCCCTAAGTGTCTATCTCGGAGAATTGTTTTAATTTTATATTCAATATCAGTCCTCCTCTGGTAGACGCCTTGTTAATGAGAATAGGTCTGTGTTAACGATTGGCGGGGTCGTAAGATATCTTATCCCGGAGGAATCATTATGGGGTTGGAGTTTATTTATAGCCAGAACCTTTGTTGTTTGTAGTTTAATGTCAGTTCTATTATGTGGCGTTTCTTATCCAGGCCCCGGGTGAATCCCAGAAAAACACACTCGGGTTCTAAATATGTAAAAAATACATATGTTTAGTTAAAATAAAAACGTCGAGCTCTCTGTGGATCAGTTTTAATAATTAATATTACTAGGATCCACCCGGATTATATACCAACGGATTGATTACTTGTAGTATATATATATATATATATATATATATATATATATATATATATGCATGTTTCATTAAAAACGACAGACAAGGTACTACGGTTAAGCTTTTTATTTAATTTTTTTTAGTGTGTAAGAACTGTCCAAATGTTTTATATTTCCGGATGCTTTCGGCTATACATTTAGCTATTATCAAGGATGATTCCATTTTTCAGTTTAATTGAGTGTGTGCGTTCTGTGTATGTCTTAGTGTGTGGTAGCGATGTTTTTAATTTCGGTTGGAAGGGTCTTGCATTATTAGCAGTAATAGACACTCTTTACAAATTCGCACTTTCCGGGTTATATATATATATATGTTCACATCTACCTATCTATCTATATATTATTCTCTTCATACCTATGTCAGTTTGTTCATATCTGTCTACCTATCTATCTATCTGTATATATATATATATATTTATATATATATATATATATATATATATATATATATATATATATATATATATATACTGACTCTACCCTCGAATTCGACGTATGAGGGTCAAGCAGATGAGTTCCTAGGAAACCGACATGAGATTTGATTATAGTGGTGAAAATTTCGTGCAGGACCATCCACACTTTTTGAAGGGCCGAATACAGAGACCTGGTGCACTACGTGCCACAAGGTCTTCAAACGACCCTCCACAGGTTTTGAATTCAGAGTTGTCCTTCTCCTAGACCAGTTGCCATCCGAGGCTATAGAACCAAGTCTGCCATGCCATTTATGATGAGGATTCACACCTTATATATATATATCAGGTTGTTTAAATTGAACTCTATATCTATACTTGTAATCTGGAATTAAGTCAAATTTGGAGATCCGTGGGAAGTACTGAGATAGCGTTTCAACTAGTTTTCAAGCAGGAACGCTACTATTTTAGCCAGGAAACAATCTATATTAATTCAATTTACCTTATCGATTACGCATTGCACCTAGTAAACCAGAAATAAAGAAATAACGCCCTGTCTTTATTTTCTCCTTCCTCTTTTAGTATATATGGCAGTTCATGTCGTCTTTGGTGAAATTTTTTTATCAAATTTAGCACCACCTGCAATGTCCTACGCGTGACTGGAATCAAATATTCTTCGGCGTGACACTTCGACGAAACGACGTAAAATTCTGTTTACGGACAAAGTCCTTCTCTTTTTGTTCAGGATGTGCACGATCATGGCTCTCCCGAACTTCCAATTCGTCGTAACGCTTAACAATATTTGTTTTATTCCTTCTCTCATATAATGACATCCGTTTAACCTCAGTCTGTTCATATCTATCTATCTATCTATCTATCTATCTATCTATCTAAGCCTGTTCATTTTCTTTCTTTCTTTCTTTCTTTCTTTCTTTCTTTCTGTCTTTCTTTCGTTTTTCTTTCTCAATCTGTTCATTTTCTATCTATCTATCTATCTATCTATCTATCTATCTATCACAGTCTACTTTCTTTTTCTTTCTTTCTTTCTTCATTTCTTTCTTTCTTTCTTTCTTATCTGTATTCATATCTATGTATCTATCTATCTATCACAGTCTACTTCCATTTTCTTTTTATATTTCTTTCTTTCTTTCTTTCTTTCTTTCAATATCAATCTGTTCATTATCTGTCTATTCATATCTATCTATCTATCTATCTATCTATCTATCTATCTATTCCAGTCTCTTCTTTCTTTCTTTCTTTCTTTCTTTCTTTCTTTCTTTCTTTCTCAGTCTGTTCATTATCTGTTTATTCATATCTATCTATCTATCTATCTATCTATCTATCTGTCTGTCTATCTGTGAATTCACCTATTCTCTAGCCCCCAGCTAAGGGTTAATTAGTAAGACTTTTCTCAATAAATCATTATCAACTAAAAGAAATCCTTACAATCTAAATTATTTTCTAGTTTTAAATAACCTGCAAGGGTTGATAAAACGTGAAAAACAATATCTGTCTCTCTACCTCCGTCTGACGACTCGTATACGAGGATACCCGTTTACTAGGGCCGCTAGCCAATCCCTAATTCAGACGCTCGCTCAGGCACATCTGTTTGTTCACCACCCACAGGTTTATACTGCAACTATGCAGAGCTGAGTTGCAGCTTCTGGGAGCGAGCGTGTTATCTAGCGCGATCAACAATCGGAACAAGGACAGCACATTCAAACCCTCGGTCACGATGACTTGTGACTTCGTGTTAGCACAGCTATTGAGGGTTCCCCATCTGTTCCGTCTATCCAATTTTATTAACAATTCTTGGGTCAACCAGTGCTATGGTTTTTAGGCACTTTCCTAAGGTTGCGCACGCTGGGATCACCCCCCACCCAATCAGGAAGTCTCCTTCCTGACAAATCAACCAAAATGAGATTCGAACCCGGGTCACATGCTCAGAAAGCGAACTTTTTCACCATATATATATATATATAAATAAAAGACATTTTTTATGTTTAACGTTATTTTTATAGATACAAGTATTTAAGTAAATGCTCTGTTTATAATAAACAGTATTAAATAACATTTATCGGCCACAAAGGAGCGTTCGGTAAGCAACGTCGAATTTACTGCTTATAAACTTCAATCTTCCATGAATCTCGTACATTCATAACTGCTCTGGCGTATCAAATGTAAACAAATGACGTCATATATTAAGAAATGGACGAAGTCCGACAATTTCAATTTAATTGTCGGACTGTGTCCATTTCTTATATATATATATATATATATATATATATATATATATGAGAGAGACAGAAAGACAGAGAGAGAGAGAGAGGAAAGCGACTGTGCAAGAGAAAGCATTATTGGGAGAGAAAGAAGAGGAGGAAGCAGAGATTAATTGGATGGGTAGAAAATAGATTGACTTGAAAAGACTGGCAAGATAGCTAGATAGATTGATAGATAGATAGATAGGAATAAGCGGATGATAGATAGATAGATAGATAGATAGATAGATATAGGCAGACGGAGATAGATAGATAATGAAAAGAATGAGCTACATAAATAGATAATGATCAGAAAGAGATAGACAGACAGATAGAAAGTTTACCTAAACTTTGATATATATATATATATATATATATATATATATATCAATATATTTTATATATATATATATATATATATAAAATATTTATATATATATATATATATATATATATATATATATATATATATATATCAAACATTAAGGTCACGAATAAACTTTTCTTTCTCTCAGGTTTTGCTTCTCTTCCTTTGAGACGGTTAGCAAGTATTTCCCAGGGAATCATTTACCTATCTATTCATCTAAATTGCCTGGTTAACATACTTGCCGATTTTTGACCAGTAATTCAATGGAACAAATTACATATAATAAAAAAAAAATGAAAGTTTGTCTATGTATATATGCGTGTACGTATATGTGCGTCAAAGTATCTCGCCACAGTCGTATCGTCAGAGGGGTAATTTTTTTTTGATGTTATCAATCTGGGTTGACCCAAGCCATAGGGGTCAAATTGGGTAGACGGATATGAAGACACTGAGATAGATAGATAGATAGATAGATAGATAGATAGATAGAGTGAGAGAGTGAGAGAGTGAGAGAGATGGGAATATGAACAGACTTTCATAGATAGATAGATAGATAGATAGATAGATATGAACAGAGATACATAGATAGGAACAGACTGAGATAGATAGATAGATATATAGATAGACAGATAGATAGATAGATAGATAGATAGATATGAACAAACTGAGATAGACTGATAAGAAAAGACTGTCATAGATAGATAGATAGATAGATGGGGAGAGAGAAGAATCAACTGTGATAGATAGATAGATAGATAGATAGATAGATAGATATGAACCAACTGTTATATATAGATATGAACAAACTGATAGATAGACAGAGAGACAGATAAGAATAGACTGTCATATATATATATATATATATATATATATATATATATATATATATATATATATATATATAAAAAAACATAACAACATAGTCTTTAACAAGTATAGGAGTTCAAAAGGCTTGACTAATCAACAGGTTACTAACTGCAATACTAATTATAAGAATACAAATAACAACTTATGTAATTGTAGGAATCCGAATAATTGTCCACTACAAACTAACTGTGGGATTACTTCTGTAGTCTATCTTGGTACTATTTCAACAATTGAAAATCCAAATATAAAGAAGTTTTACATTGGTTCTACCATGAAAACATTCAAGGAACGTTGGCGGGGGCATATTCAATCCTTTAATCACAGTGAATATAGGTACATGACTTCATTATCCAAGTATTTTTGGAATCTAAAAGATAAGAACAAAACACCTACGGTTAAATGGAGTTTGGTTAAGAAAGCTCGTACATGTAACTCCCTATATACCCCATGTTACCTATGCCTTAATGAAAAATTTGAAATTATTAGATTTAAAAACAAGGCTGATCTCTTAAATCAAAGATATGAACTTACAGTTAATTGTAAACACCGTTATAAATTTAACTTAGTGTAGGGGTCGTATACTTTAAATGATAATGATATGTCGCTGTATTTTTAATAGATTAGTATTTTTATTGCATGATGGTCATACTTACGATATAAGTGTGTATTGTTTACCTGCATAGTGTTATTAGTGTTGGTGTAAATGTGTATATATTTATTTATGTGTTGGTTAGAGTATTTGCACTGAGGAATGTGTAGGTTGGTGTATAAGTGTATTTATGTTGTTTTTTTATATATATATATATATATGTGTGGGTGTGTGTGTGGGGTGTGTGTGTATGTATATATATGTGAGTGTGTGTGTGTATATATATATATATTATGTGGGAAGGTATGGTAGATTATAGGAGAAAAGGTTAATAATTGTTGCTGTATATGTGTATGCGTGTGCCTATATATGTATGTGTGTATGGGTGTGTGTATATGTATGTATTTGTGTGTGTATGTGTGTATATGTATGTATGTATATATGTAAATATATATATGTATGTATATATATATATATGTGTGTGTGTGGTTGTATATATATATATATATATATATATATATATATATATATACATGCATATATATATGTATGTATGTGTGTATATGTATGTATGTATGTGTATGTGTATATGTATGGATATGTATATGTATATGTATGATTAAATCACGGCGGTATAATGGTTGGCCAGCATGGTTCGCTAGATTAGTTGCGACTGAGTAATGAGTTCGTTCCTCACTGGGTGCCCCCTAATTTCGGCTTTGTGCCACGATATATTTGTATATATATATGTATGTGTGTGTGTATGTGTGTATGTATGTGTGTATATATATATCTGTGTGTGTATAAATGTATATATCTGTATGTCCTATTTTATTGTGTATGTATATTTATATTTAAGTATATTTCTGTTTGTATGAATGTGTTTATATATTTGTATGTTAGGCTATATGTATATTGCTGTGTGTTGGTATTTGAATGTATATTTATGTATCTATATGTTAGTACGTTTATATATGTATTTGGTTGAGTGTTGTTGTATTTTTATGTATGCACGTATATATGGGTAGTTGTTATTGTAGATAGATATATTTATATATATGTTTATTTGTAGATATGTATGTATGTGTGTATATATATTTATGTATGTTTGTGTATGTATATATATATATGTGTGTGTGTTGGCACCTATTATGTATGAGTTTGTTTGTGTGTATGTGTGGGTATGGAAACTTTGGTATATCATGTCAGTTTTTATATATGTAAGTATGTGTGCATAAAAGTCTATGTGTATATATGTGTGTGTATTTAGGTTTATATGTATATGTGCGTGCATGTGTACTTGTTATCATAGATATGTATATGTGCGTATATGTTTATGTTTATATATTTATTTGTATGTATTTCTGTATGTATATGTATGTATGAGTGTAAATTTTTGTGTGTTAATTTGTTTTTGCTGCCGTCTATATATATATATATATATATATGTATATATCTGTGGGTTTCTTTATCCTGTTTTTCTTTGCCTAATATATAATGAAAATATTATCAACTTATATGATTAATATATATTTTTATTGATATTTATGGTTTTAGAATTTTCGTTTTAATATATTAAATAATATTATTTTTAACCATTTTTATCTTTGTATATTTGCTCCCTTAAGTTATAATTCAATAAGTGGTTAGCATTTATTTAAGTCTGAAATATTTATTGGTTGTGATTTCTCATTGTCTATGTCATTGTCTGTGGATGTATGTATGTGTATCTATCGGTGTCTATGTGTATGTAGAGTGTATTCACATTTAACTGTGTGTGTGTATAAGTGTTAGTTTCCACGACTCCTTTTTTCATAAAGGGCTGTAGAGATGTTCATGTATCTCCCCTACCTTCTTTTTTCTTTTCTTTTTTTTTTTTTAGTGTTTGTGTGTGTGTGTGTGTGTGTGTGTGTATATGTGTGGGTGTGTATATCTAATTATGTCTGGGTGCTTACGTATTATAATCTGATTGTGTTTTTGTTGTTTTACGCGTGAGTTTAAGACCACATTCACAAACTTTAAAATAAAAACGGAAAAGAAAAGGAAAAGAAAAAATATATATACATGTATTGTCAAATGACCGGATGTATTGTAGCGTCTTGTCGAACGTAATTTCAATGAAGAAATGAATTGAATAAACATATATTTTTTCTTTTCTCAATAATTTTGTAGTTTTTAAACTTAATAGTGATTAAATTTGGATTTTAAAATTGCCAGTTTTTAATTTTAATATTAAATTTTATCATATAATTTTATAATTATTAGTTAGTATAAATTATTTTTAATATTACACGTATTTAAAGATCTGAAAAGCTATTATAGCATGATTTCGTTGTCAAGCTTTTGAATCTTTCTATACTTCGTTTTTGATTGGTTATTCTAGCTTTTGTAACAATGTTTCCCCCTAGTGTAGGATCGTTAATTAATCTGAAACTTTTAAAACCATTTATTTTATTTTCAACATCATCACTTGATAAGACACAGAGTGTGTTGAAACAAAATGGCTATTTTTGTAGTGATTTTATAACATACTTATGTTATAATTTTTTTATAAAAAATAATTATATATATATATATATATATAGAGAGAGAGAGAGAGAGAGCGAGAGAGATAGATAGATGGAAATAGATACATCAATAAATACATACATACTCAGACAGATAGATAGATAGAAATAGATACATACATACATACACAGATAGATAGATAGATAGATAGATAGATATAAACAGACTCTTATAGATAGATATGAAGCAACTGCTATAGATAGATAGATAGATAGATAGATAGATAGATAGATAGATAGATATGAGCAAACTGATAGACAGAGAGACAGATAAGAATAGACTGATATATATATATATATATATATATATATATATATATATAGATAGATAGATAGATAGATAGATAGATAGAAATAGATACATATATACATACATATGTACACAGATAGATAGATAGATAAATAGATAGATAGATACATACATACATACACAGATAGATAGATAGATAGATAGATAGATAGATAGATAGATAGATATAAACAGACTCTTATAGATAGATATGAAGCAACTGCTATAGATAGATAGATAGATATGAGCAAACTGATAGATAGACAGAGAGACAGATAAGAATAGACTGATATATATATATATATATATATATATATATAGAGAGAGAGAGAGAGATAGATAGATAGATAGATAGATAGATAGATGAATATGAGCAAACTGATAGACAGAGAGACAGATAAGAATAGACTGATATATATATATATATATATATATATATATATATATATATATATAGATAGATAGATAGATAGATAGAAATACATACATACATACATACATATATACACAGATAGATAGATAAATAGATAGATAGATAGATAGATACATACATACACAGATAGATAGATAGATAGATAGATAGATAGATAGATAGATAAACAGACTCTTATAGATAGATATGAAGCAACTGCTATAGATAGATAGATATATATGAGCAAACTGATAGATAGACAGAGAGACAGATAAGAATAGACTGATATATATATATATATATATATATATATATATATATATAGATAGATAGATAGATAGATAGATAGATAGAAATACATACATACATACATACATATATACATACACAGATAGATAGATAAATAGATAGATAGATAGATACATACATACACAGATAGATAGATAGATAGATAGATAGATAGAAACTGGAACAATATTCTTTAAATCAGGTATTGATCTGACCCTGTATTATTATAAATCTCGATTTTGGCAAATGTCGTTAGAAAAGGCGCTCTAACTGTAATCTACAGAAATGATTCTTCATCCCATTTTTTTCCTAAGCGCAACACTTGAATTAAGCAATGCTAAAGATTTCAAAATAAAATGTATGCGAATACATTGCAATAAAAACTAGTTTTCATTCGTCGAAGTATTTTAAAACAAAACCAAAAAGAGAAAGAAGACTTCTACTCAAACACTTGCATCCATCAAAACGTAAGATTTAATAAGTAATAGATATGTAGGTAGGAAGGTAGGTGGCTAGGCTCCCAAACACGCGCTAACAGACAGACTTCCCATTATTAATCATCGAAATACCATCACATATTTACGGGAAGGTTATTAATAGTGCAAAACCTTCAGTAGAGAAAGGGCTTTGTACTAATGATGCGATAATGACCCCAATTATTCTTTTACTGGAAATTTAAACAGAGAGGATTACCTCGAAATGATAGCAAGATAAATTATTCAACAATAACATGTTGCACACGGGACCAAATTTGAATAAAATTGGATTCAGTTTCTAAAAACAGAAAATGCATCGTGAAAGAACATCTGGTAGCAGTTTTCCGTCAAATAATAATTGGCTTTAGCTATGTTGCCCAATAGATTCCAAGATGCCCTGATAATGTCGCCATAAGATTATCGAAGTTTTGGGACCCATCTAACGGATAAATTGCACTCAATACTAACTACTGATAATGTTTTTTCGATTTGGAGTAATTACATCAGACCTAAAATAGGCTTGTTGAAAGCCATTCCCGGGCCGTAGTAATAATAATACTGAGCTGACATCAAGACATCAGTCATATTCCGCTTGCCGTGACCTTGCTTTTCTTTGTCCTTTCTAGAAATATATTTTCATGGCGGTTTTTCTAATGTAATTTCGACTTTGGTGTCCCGGGGACATGAAGTGTAGGACTAGACTGGCTATTAGGTCTCTTTGTTTTACTGTTTCCACGTGATACTATGTTTCACGAATTGAATAAGAAGAACTGCTCTTATACTTAAGAGAATAATTATGGATAAGAGAATTCCTCACACACAATCCACCAATCTTCCACATTGGAGCAGAGAGTTATCAATGATAATTTCGGGCATGAGTTCCAGTATAAATTCTTTTAAATTGACTGATTTTATCATTGGGATATTTTTGAATTATCTAGTTTAAAAATATTTTAACATTGTGATTTTACTATAAGAATGCATTGGAAATGATTTTACTAAAAGAATGCATTGGAAATGATTTTATTATAAGAATGCATTGGAAATGATTTTACTATAAGAATGCTTTGGAAATGATTTTATTATAAGAATGCATTGTGTCATAAAAGAGGATAGCAGGTTAGAGGAAATGACTGAATGACAGTCAAAGATTTAGAAACAGTTTCAAAACATTCATATGCCAAAAAAAGTATTATTATTTATTCTTATATTTTTATTCATGAATTCTAGTATAAATAACTATTGCCGGATTTTATCATTGTGATATTTTTTATTTATCTTATATTAAAACTATAGTAACTAGTGTCTGCAAATTGAAGGAGAGAGTTATCAATGATAATTTCATGGGCGATTCCCAGTATAAATAGATATAAATAATTATTGACCGACTTTTTGCTTTATATCAATTATTAGGAATATAGTAACTAGGATCCGCAAATTGCAGGAGAGTGTTATCAATGATAATTTGCATGTATGAGTCCCAGTATAAATAGTTATAAATAATTATTGACTGATTTTATTATTGGGATATTTTTTTGCATTATATCAAGTATTAAGAATATTGTCTCTAGTGTCCGCAAATTGGGGATGAGAGTTATCAATGATCAATTGCATGCATTAGTCCCAGTATAAATAGTTATAAATAATTATTGACTGATTTTATTATTGGGATATTTTTTTGCATTATATCAAGTATTAAGAATATTGTCTCTAGTGTCCGCAAATTGGGGATGAGAGTTATCAATGATCAATTGCATGCATTAGTCCCAGTATAAATAGTTATAAATAATTATTAACTGATTTTATTATTGGGATATTTTTTTGCATTATATCAAGTATTAAAAATATTGTCTCTAGGGTCCGCAAATTGAAGGAGAGAGTTATCAATAATGATGTTCTGAATTTGAATCCGCCCTTATTTCTCTTTAAACTTATCGCTCTGTTTATATATATATATATATATATATATTTTTGAACCATTGATATTACGGAATCGAAGGTACAGGGTTCAATATCACCCTTTGCGCTGATGACACTGAGTTCATCACCCAAGGGAGAGCGTTCTCGCGATGGAATCAACGCAATGTTATCGGTCCTGACCTGACATGTCGACTTCAATCACTTTTCCACCCGCTGTCACGTGGCTTCCCTCTGCCTTTTCTATAACTATCCCCATGACACTTTATGAGCTCTCCTCCTTCGTACATCGACCGCGTACGATTAGACTGGCAACTTTCGAATCTAATATTTTCTTTTCTCGCACTTCTCACCTGTGGAAGTCTATTCCAGTTTCTGGCTTCCCTGACACCGACATCCTTCAAAAATTTAAATGCAACAACAATCGGCATTTTCTCTCTTCCTGAACTCTGTTCTTTCATTGTCCTTTCTCTTCACTAAAGTCTTCTTATGTTTCATTCAAAGTAGCCCATTGCGTCTTAGTGGCATTATTGCCTTGCTTGGGTGTGAAAGGGTTATATTAAAAATGATGATCCTGAATGCATATATATATATATATATATATATATATATATATATATATATATAGATAGATAGATACACCTAGTGAGCCAGACAA